TCTGTTACGCTGCTCAGCGCCTTTGCCTTTGCTTCGCAGGGGTGAAAAACTCCCTGGTGGCCCACGACATGGTGTTCGAGATGACGCGAGCTCCCTGGAACCCGGAGCAGCAGATTGAGCGGCCGCGGATCACCAAGAGGGTCCTGGACACGGAGGACCAGGCTGCCTTCCGGCTCCAGTCCAAGATACCCAGATACATCTACTTCGCGGCCAACAGCAAAAACAAGTGGGGCCACCAGCGTGGTTACCGGATCCAGATCACCAGCTTTGCGGGGGACCACGTCCCCGAAGCCAGCTCCATGGAGAGGGCCATCAGCTGGGCGAGGTCAGGCTGCTGGGGGTTCTTGGAGACGCCCCTGGGGAGGTGTTGCAGGGGCTCCTCAATGGGGGGGCACCGGGCAGAGGCTCCTCTGGGCCGGGGTCACTCCGTGGGAGCTGTCTCATGCTCTGCAGACGCTGGGAGCCGGCTGTCGGCTCTGCCCTGCCCCGGGGGCTGCTCCCAGCTCTCTCCTTGTCCGCAGGTACCAGCTGGCCGTCACCCTGCGCAAGGAGGAGGAGCCCACCAGCACCAGCATCTACAACCAGAACGACCCCTGGACGCCCACCGTTGCCTTCGCCGACTTCATCGACAACGAGACCATCACCAACGAGGTGAGCCGGGGTCCCCTGGAGCTGTAACAGCCCCCCCGGGCTGGGGCTCGGCTGGGAGGGCCGCGACCCCGGGGGGTGGGGGGAGCGGGGCTGAGCATCCACTGTTCTGGGCAGCTGCTCGGTGCTCTGGACGGAGCACGGAGATCAGAGTGCGGAGCAAGAGCTTGTTTCTCCCTATGGAGAAATGCTGGTAAAGCGTCCAGAAAATCCCTGCGAGGCCAGGGCTTGGCCGCAGGGGTCAGGGCAGGGGCCCTTCTGCTGGGGGATGGCCGTGGCTGGTTGGCAGGTCTTTGGGGAAGGGAGGGGACCTTTCCCAGGAGGGGGTGGGGAGCTGGCATGTGGGAACCAGGCTGGTGCCCGTGCGGGTCCCCTCCTGCTCTCCTGCGACTTTCCATGGCGCCTGCGCTGGTCTCGGTCGCTGCTGCTGCAGGCGTCTGAAGTAACCGCGGTCTCGTGGCTCTTCCCTGCTCAAGGACCTGGTCGCCTGGATAACCACCGGTTTCCTCCACATCCCGCACTCTGAGGATATTCCCAACACTGTGACGGTGGGAAACGCGGTCGGCTTTCTCCTGAGACCCTACAACTACTATGACCTGGACCCCTCCATATACTCGCACGACGGCGTGTTTTTCACCAGCGAGCAGGACTTCATGGCGTGTGAAGTCAACCCGATTGCCTGCCTGCCCAAAACTGCCTCGTGTCTGCCAAACTTCCCCCCATTCACCTATGATGGTTTCCAAAATGTGAGTAGGCTTTAACGCTATCAGATGGTGCTAGGAAACACAGTCAGAGGCACTAGGTTGACTGTTCTGTCTCAGATTTCCAGTTTTTTTGTGAAGTTGCTTCAATTTCCAGTTGTGCGTTGACTTCACTTTTTATCATTGCTTTTAAAATAGTGCTCTTTAAAAGGGAAGAATAATCGTCCTGGCAGGATGCCAGATGGAAGTCTACATTATCTCTGTTAGTTGCTGAATTTGAGTCTGTTGCAGTAGGAAAGTGAGGAGAAAGTCCTGTTCCTCTGCTGTAGAAGCAAGTGCTGTGTAGTGCCTGTCTCAGGTTAAAAAAAAATGAAAATTATTCTGGTCCGGTGCTCCCTCGAGTGTCTCATTCTTAGGATTTACAGCAGCGCCTGCAGGGGGTGATGCCAGGTCTCTGCTGTGTTTCCCGCATCCAGCAGCGGGGCTCTGGGACGGGACGGGATGGTCCGGCCGCAGGGCAGGAGGGATGGGCTGGGGAGTCCCGGGGCTGCGGGGCGAGGACCGAGGCTGGCGCTGGCACCGGCACCGAGCTCTGGGTGCTTGGGGTGAGGAGGGGAACAGAGCCGAGACCTGCATGTGCCGGATGCGAGGGGAAGGGGGGACTATTGCGGGGAGGGGTCCCCTGTTGCTGCACCAGCACCGTCCCCCACAAGGACCAGCTCAGCCCGTCGCAGCCCGACGCTGGCCAGGGTCAGGCGAGACCT